TTACTTACTTACGACACGCATGTCAGGATCCGATAAATGAAAGTCATTTGAGAAGGGTATCTGAATTTAAAACTAAGGTTTCAGTTAGAAAATTGCTGAAAAATACTAAACTTCGTATGGGGTCAAATGACCCCCCGTGGTACGTAAGGTAGGTAAAAAATTTTTCGTTACAAAAAATTAGCTACGAAAAAAACGAAAAGCGAGAAATTGAACAATCCGATGACATAAGAATTTACAAAAAGTCAAATGAACGAAAAGAATAACAATGAATGTACAATTTTAAAGCAAATTTTGGAAGGGGTCATTTGACCTCGCTTGGTACGTTTAGTGCTAGGCGCCCTCCGTGTCAGAAAGTCTTACTGCGTCAAGCGCCTCTAGGCGCCCTCTGTGTCAAAAAGCTAAACTGCGCCGGGCGTCTAAAGGCGCTCTCAGTAGCCAAGGGGCTATTCTCTCTAGTAATTTAGGAATCTTATATTTTATTTTAATCCTTTCGTAAGTTTTCTGAATTCCCGGATGTCCTATTGAGTCGTGATTTTCATTTAAAATTTTTTCTACGTCTTCTTTTGTAAATTCTCGAATTGATTCGTCTGCAAAACTGATTTCTTTAACTTGGTCATTATGGTACATTAGCATACGCCTAATTGTATTCTTTTCCATAGATTTGAACAGTTCTGTTACAAGTCCTATCTTATTATGATCTTGGATTACTTTAAGCAATTTTATTAACCATTGAGTTTTATCGTAGGGCCCTAAATATTCTTTTGTAAGTTGAAAGAATGAACTATGGTTAGGTTTGATCGTTAATTTTTTGGGTAGTTCGTCACTTTTTTCCCATTCGTTGAATTTAAGTTCATGACTAATGTGTACCGTGCCTTTGAAGTCTTCTGTCTTAATAATTGTATGTACTCGTGACAGTGCGTCAGCTGTGCGTCTTTTCCTTTAGTATATTCGATTTCATACTCATATTCCTCCAGTCTGAGTCTCAATCTAATTAATCGAGATGAGGGGTCTTTACAATTGTTCAATCATTTAAGAGCTTGGTGATCAGTTCTAATGAGGAATTTTCTTCCTAATAAATATTGTCGTAATCTTTTAACTGCCCATACTATTGCTAATAATTATTTTTCTGTCGTTGAATAATTTTTCTCGGGGGGATTTAAGGTTCTGGAGATATAGCAACATGGATGTCCGTCTTGCGATAAAATGGCTCCTAATCCTTCATTGCTAGCGTCAGTTGTTAATGTGAATCGTTTATTGAAGTCTGGGTATTTCAAAATCGGTGATTCGCATAATTTATCCTTTAGGGTATCAAAACTAGTTTGCTGTTTATCTGTCCAGTGGAAATTTACGTCTTTTTTTGTTAATTCCGTAAGAGGTTTTGCGATTTTGGAAAAATTTCTTATAAATTTTCTGTAGTAGCCTGATAGTCCTAGGAATGATTTGACGTCGGTAGTGTTTTTAGGTATTCTAAAATTTGTCACTGCCTCTATTTTCTTAGAGTTTGGTTTTACGCCATCTGCTGTTACCACGTGTCCTAAATACTCGAGTTCTGGCTTCAAGAACTCGCATTTGTCAGGTTGGATTTTAAGTCCTAATTCTTTAAGCCTTTGCAATACAATAGCTAGGTTTTTATTGTGTTGTTCAATTGATTGGCCGAAAATTATGATATGATGTCATCAGTGGTTATTGATCAGTCCTCTTAATGTTGTATCCATCATTCTTTGGAACGTGGCTGGCGCGTTTTTCAGTCCGAAAGGCATTCTGTTGTAATGAAAATGTCCCTGAAGCGTTGAGAAAGCTGTGTATTTTTTTGAATTGGGATCCATAGGGATTTGATGGAATCCGGAGGAGAGATCTAATGCTGAAAAGTATTTGGAATTTCCTAACTGGGAGAGGATATCGTCTATTTCTGGTAATGGGTAGGCGTCTTGGTCTGTCAGTTCGTTTAGTCGTCTGAAGTCCACTATTTATATACTGAAGTTCGCTATTCTTCACTTCTGTTTAGCTGATGCGTCTGCTTTTTTTGGTACTACCCGTATAGGTGAATTATAAGGAGAGTCTGATTCTTCAATAATTTTCTTATCTAGCATTTCCTTCACCTGCTTGTTAATTTCGTGTTTATGGCATTCGGGAGGTCGGTAAGATCTGGTGTTAATAGTTTTGTTTTCTTTCAACGTTATTGTATGTTGTGTTAGGTTAGTGCAAGGTAATAAGTCGGTCTCTAGATTGAATACATCAAGATAATGTAACAGGATTTTTTCAATTGGCTCGCGTAATTCTTTTTCTATATGTGAGGTTCTAATTGATTGTTTAATTTACATGATCCTGCTTACCATGGTATATCGTTGGTATCGTGCCTTCTAGGTATATCGTTTGAACTTGGGTTTCACTGGGTGGAATGACCGTGTTTTTCTGTAACTGAATGATGTTCCCATCTAGCGTTAGCGTGTCGTTAGTTAGTTGGTATTTATAGTTTTCAAGAAAAGGTTGCCCTACTATTCCATCTTCTATAAGAGGAAAATTCTGTTCTACTATATAAAACATATTAGTTTTCCCATAAAGTCTAATAGTTAAGCATTTATTAGTATGGTATTTGTCTTTTCCCATGCAGAATATTCTTGGTTCACATTGTTTTCCTGTCGTGTTTGCTTTTCGTTTAACTAAATTAATTCCTGAGCCTGAATCTACGAGGAATCGTTCTCTATTTCCGCCTCTTCTATCGTATTCGCTCGTCTCGTCGTGTGGGTGTCGGTGGTCCGTTGGACCGTCTGATATGTGGTTTACTCGTGTTCGTGGCGGGATGTTTTGGCTGGTTTCGCGAAAATTTGAGCACTGATTAGCTACATGTTCAATCTGATTACACTTGAAACACTTCACAGCTGCCCTGTCAACTAGCGGTTTTCGTTCTATTTGTTGAAATGTAGAAGTTAGTTTGGCTGGAGGGTTCCTTGGTCTATCAGCTGATCTTGGAGTTGATGTAACTGGAGCGCGTATTTGTGAAATGCGTAGTTGCTTCTTTTCGCTGATTGTCGTTTCCGCTTGGAACGCTGCTTCTTGTGCTTCCATTAGATCTTTAGGTGTTGATGCAGACACTCTCGTCTCTATCTCATCTTTCAGATTGAGCACATAGGTTTTTTACTTCTCGTCGGTTGTCTAGATCGATCGCGACTTTTCGTTCTATTGCTTCTTTGTGTTCATATTGGAGTGTATATATGAGTTCGTTTAACGCTTTACGATATCTTATCGTGTAGCTGTGTACGCTCTCGGTTATGCCTTGTCGTACTTGTCTTAGTCTGTCTCGTGCGTTATCGGCTGTTGTCGGAATATTTACGAATTGTCTCAGTGCTGCATATAAATCTGTATAGCTTTCGATATCTAGATGTCTTATGCTTCGTTCTGCGTCATCCGTAATTTTCTGGGCTATGGTTAGGTCTAATAGTTCCGGTTGTTCTCTGCATCTCGCTCTGGCTTTCCTGACCTTTTTTATGAAGCCTTCAATTCCAATATCGTCCCTGCCTTTTAGGACTGGAATAAATTGTATAGACAACTTGGCTGGATGTCTAGGACTTTCGGATTGCTCTGGTTGAGGTAATCCTTCGTCTTCTTCTGATCCATCGCTTGTTTCTCTGGGTACTGGTACGTTTTTAGGTGTGATTTTTCTGCGTGACGTGGTTCTAACGGTTTCAGCTGAGAGTGTACTCTCGTCTTCTGTGGGCATTCCGCTGAAGTCTGAGGTTGCTAGGCTGCCTGCTATTCGTAGAGAGGCTAGACTTTTCCCTAACGTCTCAATTTCTTTTGCTCGTTTATAGTTCTCATCATTAGCAACTTTAAGCATTCTTTGTATTTCTGCCATGTTGCTCTCATGACGTTCATTCTGCTTCTGTATTGCATCTAAGATTGCTCTAATGCTTGGATCTGTAGATGTACTCGATGTTTGTGCCATTCTTATTGATTTAGCAGAATCGATAGATGAATCTTAACTCGATAGACTAGAGAGGCTATTCCTTCGTTCTCTATACTTAGTAAAGGAATCCAGTGTTTACCTGCTCGTTTTTTCGTAGGAAGTATTCCGTAGAAAGGACTCTAAAACGTGGCTTCAGGCTGGTCTTCTTCACAATGATTGCTCGTAATAATGCGTGTGTCTCCTGATGTGGCGCGTAACCCTGGGATTCGATCTTCACTCGTAGTAAGAAAGAATCACAGTTTCTCGGAGAACAATTAGCACTATCCTGGCAGGATCGCCAAAATGTCACGTAAAACTGCAGTTAGAAATAATAAAAAAAGGTAGTTGAGCCGTAGCCCAACTTATTACTCTTTTTATTTCGTTTTACACAGATTATAATACACAAATTATATAATAGCACTGGTAAAAGATCCTGCGGATTCCTAGGTTAAAGTCAAGACTGTTTTCCGAACGAAATACAATGGCTTATATATATGTATATTATCTTATCATAACGGAAGTATAGTTTATAAACGGAAATAAGAGCTCCTGGATTTTGTTACAGGAATTGGCCCTGTTATACCCACGCGTTCTGATAATTTTCTATAACATTCCCTGCAGCGCTTGTGAACATTTCTTGCAATGCCCGGATATCTGTTTATAAAATGAAGGTTGCTATCCTTTATTTGCCTTATTGATATTTCTTCAGTTTTTTATTAACAATTTATGAATAATTTTTTGTTTGAATGTTTATATAAACACAGTCACTTAGAGTCACTCATAGCGTGGCGCGGAAGAAACTTATGGGACAACCTAATATAATAAACAACTTTGTACGATATACTACCTAAAACTTTTTTTATGCGGCGGACAGGGACCGCATAAAAAAAGTCGCACTTAGAAAACGCATCAATTATTTACGAAATAGATGAGAGAATGCTTTCAATTAAATTAATTAATTAAATTAGACCTGGAAAAATTGTGAAAACATTTAATTCTTCATTGTACATACACATGGAGAAGTTTTCAAATTGTACATTAAATAGGTCGCTGCTACTCGTCGTAATCCAAAACGCGCATCTTTTTGTGACGAATTAGTCCAAAATCGCTTTCGTCGCTTGAAGATAGTATTTCAATTGATTTGTTTCTTGGTACCATAAAATCAGTGATCAGTTTTTGTGACGACAATCGATTGGTCAATTGCTTGTACACGTCACGATAGCGAGACATGCACGATCTCAGCTCTTTTTGGAATTTCGATCTTCTTTCCGCATTAGTATCTATTTTAAGAAAATGCGTTTCCAATTTTTTAGAAATCTGGATCCCTGCATATATTTTATCTGCTGAAATAGATTCCGGCTCTTCTTGTTCATTTTCATCATCTATCAAATTATTAATAATGTCACTATCTGTGACAGTTTGGTCCTCAATCATTTCGTCCAGATCATTTTCGCCAAAAGTATCGAAGCTTTCTCCGCTAATGTTATGTGCGAGCGCAGTAATTTCAGATAATAACGTAGACGCGTTTTCCGTTACATTTCGATTAATTACACATTCAGGCCAGATCGCTTTCCAGCATGAATTTAAGGTGTGTTGTTTTATTTGACCAATTGCTGCAATAATATGGTTTATGCAGTCTAAAATTGAGAATTTTTTCCAAACTTCAGGTAGGCTTAATTCAGCGTTCTCT